TGAAAGAAGTAATGTTTTCTGGCTCCACTTTGAGCCTGTAATTCAGTGATCTCCACTGTGCTCTCAGATGGCCAAAGGCACATCCAACGGTCCTATGATATTTGCTGAGCTGGTAGTTAAATGTGGACTTTTGCCGGTCAGTAACTTGTCCTTCATGTGACTTCATGAGCTGGGGCAGGAGGGGGTAAGCTGCATCTGCTATGATCACTGCATCAGGGAGCCTGGGTGCATATTGTCCTTTCTCCATCATGCCAGGCAGCAGTTAGTTTTGAAAGACATGCACCTCATGAGTGCTCTGCCCAGCCTGTATAAATGTTAGTGAGTCATCATCAGTGATCAACCATGGCTTGGAGGATCACAGAGGCAAATGCCTTCCTATTGACAAATCCTTATTTCTCCTGGGATGGGTTTAGGACAGGGATGTGTGCACTGTCCAGTGTACCCACACCATTAAGGAACCCCATGGCCTTGAAGCCTTCAACAACTTCCCAGGGTTTCATAGGCAGATAAAGTTGTTCACCGCGATGTCCTGCATCAGCCGGCATACCTCATGTGCTGCCACCCTGGATATGTAGGGAGCCAGGCCAAACTGGTTTTCTGTGAAGCAGAGGTTGGTGGAGGGTGCACAGTTTCATGATGGCCATGGCCACCCTCCTTTCTGGTGCAATGGGCTGATGCATGGCAGTCTTCTGGTGCTCAATGTGCAGTATCAGCAACTAGGAGTGCGCGGAGTGGGTAGTATTTGATTTAGATTTGGATTCAGATTTGGCCTGATTCAGGGGACAGTGATTTGATTCGCTGATTTAGATCACTGTCCCAATTCAATTTGGCCAAATCTGAATCTGAAGATTCGATTCTGATTCAGAGAATCAGCAATTCAGCCATAGATACAGCTTTATATGTTTTTTCTATGTACCTCAAGGTGCCAGGCATGGGCCATGAATGCTGAGATGGTGGGATGGATGAAACATCCCACGGGAGTGCAGGGAGCGTCCCCTGCCGAGCATGTGGGTGATCCCCCCTCCCACACCCCTCTGGCTCAGTGATCGGCTGCAGAGGGGTGTGAGTGGTTCCCCAGGCACTCCGCAGTGGACCCGGAAATGGACCATGTGGAAGTACTTCTAGTCCACTTCCAGGTCCACTGCTGAACACACAGGGGGCTCCCCTGCGCTTCCGTGGGATGCTCCATCTGACCCACCATCTTGGTGTTTACGAGCCACGCTTGGTACCTCAAGGTATGTAGAAAAAACATATAAAGCTGTGTCTATGCCTGAATTATTGAATCTTTCCAAATCGATTTGGAGGTTTCCAATTTGATTCAGAGAGATTAATGGGTTTCCTAATTCGATTCAGGTTTGGAGATTTGGCTACCGAATCAGGCCAAAACTCCTCCAAATCAAATCAGCCACTGAAGCTTCACACAACCATATCAGCATCAAAACTATGTGGAAAAATGTGTCCCTACTCATGTGGAAGGTGTCAAACCACTGCTGATCATCCCAAGGTGTCTCCAAATCAATAGATACCTTTCAGTTCTCCAACTGCAGCTGATGGGACATTGCCTTATATAACAAGGCATGTGAAGCTGCTACCCTGCTACCCTGCATTGGTGCCTCTGTACAAGGGTCATCATAGCATGCATCATGTTCAGTAGCTGCATTCATGCATTATCAAGTGCCTCCAGGCTCTTGTTGGACATCTCCAGGGCATCCAAGACTGTTTCCTCAGAGCACCACTTGTTGGCACTAAGGGGGTTAACTAGGTAAAGCTTTTTAATAGGACGATTAGCGTTAAAACAGTCATGCTCTTTAAATTTCAATTCCTAACCTACTCAACTCCAGTTCCTATAAACGCACCTCCTGTAAAAACTGGCATGTCCAATGATCCCATAAACCTGTTATCTACCCAAGGGTGCAGTACATAGCACCTAATGGAGCAATGACCAGACCTGCCATGAATTTTCACCACAGCAAACCCCTCAAATATGGCAGTAGCCAGGGGAAGAAAGGTGGTTGTGAGGTCCCCGTGCCTTCTGTTTTGAATAGGTCCCATTAGCACATTAAGAGCTATGCCAGCCATTGAGATGCCAGAAGCACCAAGTCAAATCACAGTCCCAATTGTCTGAAGTCTCCAAATACCGTTTTTTCCATGACATGCATTCAGTGGAAAAAAAGTGGCACTGAGCAGAATCCTGAAATGGCCGAACTATGAATTAAGGGGTGGAGTGGCAAGTAGCAGGAAATTAGTCTTAATGGCATTATCAGCCCTGCTCCTTACATTTCAGTTCCTACACATCCCTGTAACTGCCCCTTCTTTAAAAACTTGGGGAGTCCGAAGACCCCAGAAACCCATCATTTGCTAAAATCCATTAAGAGATCAAGATCTTAATCTGTCAAGTACTCAGCAGTAAAAAGGCAGGTGCAGCTGCCTTTCAACTGAAAGAACCTTGATTTCCTCTCCCCCCCCCCCATGACTTAGTACACCCCAGGAGTACAGTTCAGCAATTGATATGTTGGACATCGTGGTGGAGGGGAGTGGGGGTGTGCTTGAAGGTCCAGCAGCAATTCCTTTCAAACAAGCTGCATTGCAGGCAGGCCGTGAATTTCAGATGTTTTTGGCAGCGTGCCATTAAGACCTATCGTTCGGGAAATGGGTACATCTGGGGGACAGTTTGGGACAGACTATACATTTCAATGGTGTTCTTTTAGGAAAGGTCACTTCAGCAGATTGGTGTGAGTGCCAGTACTAAGGCACAGTTCACACCTATATAGGTATGCATGTATTGCAAGTCAGACCAACACAAAAAGGTTCTGTAGAAATGTCTATATAACTGATTTCAGCTGTGGGCAAAAAGCATCTGGCGACTCTGGTCAGAGCATAGTGAGCCCTCTCTGTGACTCACTTTGGCCCTGAAAATGTACTCGACAGAGATACAAAATAAGCAATATCTGCCGGTCTTGGAGGAATAGCCAGATACATCTCAAAGCTGTGGCCCCAAGCAGGCCCATGATGACCTGGAGGCTTTGATTGATATTTGGTGGGAACAAAAAGTTCTGGTGCAGCTGGAAAATCAACAAAATAAGCCATTCTATGCATCCATTGCTGAGCAAATTAATAAGCGTGGCCACGATCGTGACTGGACCCAGTGCCTCAGCAAGATGAAGGCCCTGAAATGTGCTCTCCATTGCCAAGGACCAGAATTCTTGTTCGGGGGCTCGACATATAGTAGCCCCATTCTGTCATATGTTGTCTATCATTCTTGTGAAGGATGCAGGAGGTGCTTACCTGCAATCCTTTGGCACAACAGGGTGCAGCGTGACTGAGCTAGCAAGAGTCTATAGACTGTCCTGCCACTGGAGTGGGCAGTGTGATAGGCATTGCATAGCCTTCAGGTTGCTAGTTGGAGGTCTGGGACAAGTACAGCAGCTACAGGACATGGAGAACCAAGACAGAGTTGTCTTGACCATGACCCCATTCTCCCCCGGGGTCTTTCCTTAATGTCTCAGAGGAGGAGGAGGATGCATTAGATTCCATGATCATACTGACCCTGGACACCAGAAATTCTTGAGACCCAAAGATCAGTGCCAGTGCCATAGATGCCCAAGGATCCATGCCCGGAGACTTGTAATTTATGAGGAAGGGGCATTAGATCAGTTTGGGTGACTAGGGCTTACATGGACCTAGTCTTGCTTTTGCACCAGGACCAAGTGAAGCAAGCAAGGAGGGAAGGCATTAATGTTAGAAGCAGCAAATATGTCTGCTTCTTGCAGTCATGCAAGTTTCCCCATACATGGGGGTGAACGTGCTGGACCCTCTCTTAAAGTTGCATGTGGGGGTTAGAGTGGGGTGGTGGGGGTGGGGGAGCATTAATTTGTTTACTGGCAGGAATTTTTGCTGCTGAGAGATGTACAATGATCTTTTTAGTGGAGTGTGAAGTATGCATATGGGTTCCTTCATAATCATCCTTTGTGGGTGGCTGCATTAATTCACCAAGTGGTGAGCAGTAGATATATTAATGTTGGCCTCTGCAGCTATACCTGGTGTTCTAAAACATTATTACACACAAATACATGCAAAAAGGGGGTTCAAAATATAAAAAGTGTAGTGACAATTGGTCAAAGGGATTCAGTACACATAATTAACATGTACACATGACAGATTTATGACTGCATCATTGCAAATTGCAATGATGCAAACTAACCTACATCAGAATGTGGTTTAGTTTTGTAACAATGGCCATGTGTAGACAAAACAAGGGGTGTGTATGCATGCCATTTTAAAGCAGGCTAAATGGGTGGGTGCTGCCTTGGGGGGGGTGCTGCTGCTGCCATGGAGTGAAGCACCACCTTCCTCGCCCCCTGTCCCACAGCCCAGGGACCTCTGCCTGCCAGCAGCTTGCCCTCCCCTCCCCACCACCAGAGAGACAGGTAAGTCAGTGGGATGTGTGCATGACACGGGGGTTTAATCAGTCCTAAATTGAAGCAGTATTTTTACAAACTCAAAACTTCAATTTAGGGCCCCCGTTTTGTCTACACGCACCCAACGAGATCTAATATTAAACCTCCAAAACTTGCATACATGTTAATTGTGATGCCATTAAGCCACACAAAGGGAAATTTTTATCATGTGTACATCATCTTGTCATCACTTATACAAGTGCCTATGGTGTCTTTGTCGTTCTAGAAATTTACGGTATGAATAAATACCTCCTGGCACTGGGTAAAGGGCTTATTTTAATTTTGTCTTATTAGAGTAGCTAAAAAATGCTTTAATGCATTGGACAATCTGGACCCAGGGTGTTTTCCTTGCTTAAAACCACTGAGCACAATATAAAAATCAGATGCACAAAAAGCTACTGAAGTCCTAAAAATTAGTATGTTTGTTTTTTCCCCTCTTCTCAAACCCCCCACCTAGTTGAAAGGAAACCTCAAGGCCTCATCTGGTTTCTTCTTTTCTGCATCTACTGTGCATTTAATTAATTCTCTCTGTCTTTTTTGCAGCCCACATGTTGATACATTCCCCTTTTTGTTTCCAAAAGAGGATTTCACAGAATTACAGTGTGCCTGATCCAACCGACCACTTTGATGTTCTTCACTAGACTATGTAGGTAAAACTCAAGATATATTATAATCAGTTTCCTTTCTTGGTTTCAGTGTTTCAGTGAATACTTTTTTTTTCCAGCAAAGAATGATTGTTATGAGAAGTAAGGTTCATTTGAAATTCAAGGGACCACAGCAAACATTAAATCATTCACTGTAACTTTGACATCAGTTGCATTATAGCATAAGGCTATGGATTCCATCTTGAATATATTTTTGCCCATCCACCTGCTCCTCTTGTCATATCTGCTCTAAGGGTTTATCTACATTGCAAGCACAGTAGTGACTGTCTGAGCTAGTTTTTAAATAATTAGTTTGGATCTTACTAGCAGTCCAGTTGAGGCAGCAATTAAACTCAGTGAGAGTTTGTGAAAACCTGCTCAAGTAACTGGGTAAACGCAGTGACTGCAGTATAGATAAACTTTAAGGAGAAAAAAGTACAGTGGTAATGTTGCTGTTTAGGGAGAAGTCTTCTGGAGAAAGTGTTTCTACTGTACTGTTGTAATTCATCCTGAGCTTCTGAGAGAAACTTTAGTGGACCTGTTTATAATGTCTTCTTTGAATTTCAATCAAGTCTGAGAGTTTAGTCTATAATGCACCAATAAAACTTCCCCACAAAAAGTGTTGGTCTTTGTTTAGGCCAGAAATGGAGAAAGGTTGAAAATATTCTGTATGAAGGTCCTGATCCCAAAATGGATAGAGGGGTTTCTCCTGCTTCTACCTACTGAAATATCAACATCTTGTATATGATAGCACAGCTGGCATTCCTCAAATGCAGTTGTTCTAGGCTGTTACTTGTTCAAGTTGTATCAAGCTGTTCACTACTATTTGTTAGATTTGTGTGTGCATGTGTGTGTCCAAATTGCGTCAGTAATGAAGCTGTATGTGACAGAGGGCTGCCTTGAGGCCCATCATTTTATCAGCCCACCCACCTGTCTAAGGCAGTCCACCTTGCGTCACCTGCCATGCCTTTCGTGTTTCCACAAAAGTAGGTGTGTATATGCAGGAGGCTGCCCATTTGGTTGTCCTGATGCCAAAGGTGAAATACATGGATCTGAACCTCCCTTATACCATGTCCCATGCCTCACAGATAGCATCACATACTGGTGACAATTATCTTGGCGCCTTACTGAGCTAAACTCAGTCCCATGCTGAGCCTCTGTCATTCTACCCCTAGCAGGGCAACATTCATTCTGCCCCTTTCTTAGGCCTTAGTCACACTGCCCTACTTTGTATAGCCCTTCAGGACCACCCAGACTCCCTACTCTATACAGCCCTTCAGGATGCATCTCTTTCACTCTCAATCTTGACCCACATAGACCTTCAGGCCACCCAGTTTAGACCCTACTTTATAATGGAGCATCACCCACACACTGGGCTGATTCCGACCCACAGCCTTCTCTGGCCTCGGAAGTCCCTAACTCGGCCTACAGCCCACTCAGGCCTCAGGTTTCTGTTGATGTGCCTGAACCCCAAGCCTCTTCCCTCTACAGGGTAACCCACCATGTCATGGTGGCTGAGACTTTACAGGACCCCATCCTCACCTTTCCCTGGGGAGGCACAAGTGTGGCATTTTCTGGAGTGTCCTCCACCACAGGCAGCCCCTCCACACCATCCCATCCCAGCAGAGTGCAGTTTCAGGTCTTACCCAGGGCCAAGGAACCTCCTCCATCCCCATAGTTGCTACTCTGACCTCCAGGTGTTCCAGGACCTGCAGTCTGCAAGCTGAATTATGTTGCTCCTCTGGCTCCCTAAGTGTAACTGCCTGCTCTACTCCTAGAGTCTGGACTTATACTGAGACTGCCCAGCCCTCATCCAGTATGGCCCCCTTGTGATCATGTGACTGCCTAATTGGGCCTTACTGCATCTGCCAGCTGCTCCACAGCCTTCCTAAACCTCTTAAAATGGCAGGCACAAGTTGTGCTCTGCCATACTGCACCAAGCTGATTCCTGCGCAAAGCTTAATATAAACCACGCATATTCATATAATATATAGATAATATAACATATATTCATTTTTATTTCCTGCGGAGGCGAGTATTAGTTGTTCTGTGTGTAATTAATATATTGGTTGTTTTTTGCATGTAAAACAAACACATTCTTTTCTGAATACTTAGATTCAAATTGCTACCAATCAAAAACCCTTCAGACTGGAGGAAAGACTCAGATGCTCTCTTGTGGCTGTCTACAAATCTCTTAATGACCTTAAAGTTAAAATGGCAGGAAAGCAATCCCAGATGAGACTGTTCATACTAGGGATTCTGAACAAAGCAAACCTGCCTCTGTTCTGGGTTTCACTGGTTTCACTTTTGCCCAAATAGGAAGTTAAAAAACCGGATGCTGATTTCAGGGTTTGTGGTTGTAGCTATGTTGGTCTAAGGACATAGGCAGGCAAGATTCTTTGAATAGATGTGATATCTTTTATTAGGCCAACTGAGTAACTGGAAAAAAGTTCTTAGCAAGCTTTTAGGCACAATCACCTTTCTTCAGCTATAGGGAGTTTCTGCTGTTCTGAGACTCCAAGGAATGAAAGAAGCTAAAAGTGTGGCAGGATTTCAGTGAGAATGTAAATAGGGAGAAATTAGGAAAACAAAAGGTAGAGCAGGGAAGGAGGGGGAGCCAAAGGTGAGTAAGGGAGACTCTACAGTAGTAACTGAAGGTAGAAAAGAGGCTGTGTGAGAAAAGGGAAATAGCTGTAAATTAGGAAGACAAAGGGCAGAAAAGTAGGGGAGGGGAGGGGAGCGGAGGGGAGGGGAGAAAGGTTGGAGGAGGAAAAAATAGTATAAGAGGTCAGGTCTTGCAGGTACCTGGTGAATAGGATGTCAGGCAGGTTGTAATGTCATAAATCCAGTGTCTGTATTGAGTCCATGATTTTTTGTATCCAGTAGATTTATTAAGTAAATTTTGTGGGCTCACCTATGAAAGGTGTTTTGTAAGTTCCCTTTGAGGATTAGAACTGAGACATTGGAGAGGGAGTGATTGTCTTGTGAGAAGTGTGCACCCACAGGTAGTTGGGTATTCATGTCTTTAATAGATTTTCGGTGTGCATTCATTCTGGTGCACAGTTGTTGTTTGGTTTCTCCTACATATTTTCCATCAGGACATTCAGTGCACTGGATAAGATATATTACATTCCTGGAGGTGTAAGATCCAGGAATGGTGATGGTTCTGTTGGGGGGTGTAGTTCTTGTGGAGGTGATGGAGATGTGCTGGCAGGTTTTGCATTTCTTGATGTGACTTTCAGAGAACCATGATTTTACTTAATGTTAACTGTACTTATTTTCAGAATAAAGAGAGGGGGGCAGTGCAAATGACAGTTGTATTTATGCAACAGACCTCTGTCCCTTAGCCCAAGGCTGTTAAACTGAGGGGTTAATATACTGCCCCTAGACTCCTACCTGGCTACCTCTCCCCTCATCTCTCCACCTACAGCAGCGACTAGGGTTTCCAGGGTCCCCTTCTCTTCTCCAGCTTCTACTGTCTGTCCCCATCCCAGGGGGTGGAGTGGGGTAATGCAGCTTATGGCATCAAGGAAAACAGTGGCCTGGGGTGCCCGTGTAATATGGTGCAGCAAAGGGGTGTTCACATAATGTGCAGCTTGGAGGTTCCATGGCTTACACTGATGGTGCCTCTGCAGTATGCATCTCCCACTGATGTGGCCCAGGGGCACCTAAAAGTTAGGTAACCCTGCTTTAGATAAATGCTTCTTAAATTCTTATCAAGACCTTAAGAAAACCTGTATCGAAACAAATTTTAATGTTTTAAGACGCCTAAGTCCTGTACTCTAACTTACCAGAAGTCTGTATTTTCACAAATATTTTAGAAAGTGACAAGTAAATAGCAGTTCTCCTCATTGTAAGTTAGATTGAAACTAATGTAATTTGTGACAATTAAGCTTAATAGATTTATTTATATTTATACTGTTGCACAACCATTTAAATTATTGCATATATAAAGAAAACACTATAATAAGTAGAGTGCATCAAATAGAATTTATTAGTGCATCTGGAGTCATTGATTTTGCAGCATCAATTACATTATTTTGGTTCTCAGAATCTTAAATTCCCTCTTCCAGTTCGTGTCATGGCTATTAAGACATTTGCATTCTTCCTTTATCCAAAGTAAAGTTATAATTTAGCACCTTGCACATACAGAAATCTGTTCAGGTTATTGTATCTAATATCAAGTTTAAATAAAAAAATAATAACAAATATAACATTTAAGCAGATTTTGCTAGCCAGGGTCCAAAAAGAAACCCTATGTCAATTTTAAAAAGCATTTAAATGATGTAAGTAATATTTGTAAATATTACTTGAAAAAAATTCAATTTCATATAAATGTATTTAATTTTTATTTTTCAATGCATTTAAAATGTGTTGATTCTGATGTATAGATGAACTCTGAGAAACTGATAAAGTTTAGATTCTACTGTTGTTTGAGCTCTCCTTTTGCTATTTATTTTGTAAGATTACAAGAAGTATTCCTTATAAATTCTTGCATTTTACTGATTCTTTATTTTGCTCTCCAGGAACTGCTTTCCTTAAAGGCTGTTGGGTTGTTGAACATCTCCTGGTCCAGTAGCCAATGACACAATGATGTTTATTTGATTTCTGCACAAAACTGATTGTGCACACTCCCTAGCCTATTTTAAGGGGGTGTAGTGGTAGGGTAGGCTGAGTTTAAGGAGCTAAGGTACAGTCAGCAAATGCATGTTGTCATGTAGTTTGTTATGGTTTTAGAGTATGGCTTAATGCTGATGTAAATAGCAATGGATTCTACTGTGTGTGCATGTATTCAAGGCAGTTGTTTCATTTGTTTGTTTGTTTTTGCTTAGTTTTTGCTTAGATGAGATTCATGTAAAGTAATTTTATTTTCCCCCTGTAAAATTATAAGAATGGGGAGCGCTAGAATGATGTGTTGATGACTCATCGGGGATGTTTAGAGCAACTACCAGGTTTTAGAAAGGTGATGCTTGATTTGTGGAAAATCTCTTTGCTGGCCTTA